GGTTGATTTAATGACATAAAAATCCTCAGTAAAAATATCAGCAGAGAGATCGGGCTCTCTTCTTACAAGTAGGTACGTATGTTAAAAAGGTTAAATATTATATTTAGAAAGTTCTCTGAGAGTTAATGAAGGGGAAAGAAGAGTTTTCACTTATATACAAATATTTTGAATGACAACTTCTAAGATGTTCAGGTTTCCTCTATAGTACAGCAGAATAAAAATTAAAAAAATTGGTTTTTTATCAAGCTGATATAAGATTAAGTCCTTAAAATTTGTTGAATGACAAAATGTTACTTGAACAACATATATAATTTTTAAGATATAAATACATCTCTGGGAAGTCAAATGTTAAGGTTGCAAGGAAGATGAATCTCCCTTAGAGAAGTGTTAAACAGAGCCATGGTCTCCTCTACTTCTGAGAATTTGTCCTACTGCAAATCAGGAAATCAGCCAAGACAAACAAAGTTCTGTGAAGATGCTGATGGCAACATTATTTAAACATACTTAAAAAAAATGGCAACCACCAAATATAGTGGTTACATAGTGTATTAACACAAAGCGCACTATGTTGTCATCTATAAACATAAACAGTGTGAAGAAACAGAAAGAATAAGTGAACAAGAATATAGGTATTTCTGTGCTGTAATTGTAATTCCAGGAAGTATGTGAGAAGTGAAGCTGCAAAGAGAAGAACTTCTGCTTGAAGCTTATGGAAATTATTAGCAAAGCCTGTTCGTTCTTGTCATCCCACAATCTTTCCTTTGTGTTCAAATAAACTGAAGCGAAAGCATATCTTGACTATTTCTCTAACTACACAGAACTGGAAGAAAGCTGTAAGTCTAGAGAGCGTTATTTCAAACAACTGAAGGAAAATGTTGGTAACACAGTGGGAATACAAAATGGTACAGCCACTGTGAAAAATATGACTGTTCCTCGAGAACTTTAGCATAGAATTACCATACAATCCAGTAATTCCACTTCTGAGTATGTACCCCAAACACCTGAAAGCAGGAAAAAAATCTGTGCATTCATGTTCATAGCAGCATGATTCACAATAGCCAGTAGGTGGAAGCAACCCAAACGTCCAATCGGCGGCTGAATGGATCAACAAAATGTGGCATATGCCAACAACGGAACGCTATTCAGCCTTTAAAGGAAGGAGATCCTGACACCTGCTACAACATGGATGAACCTTGAAAACATTAGGTTAAGTGAATAAAGAAACCAGTCACATAAGGACGAACACTGTGTTTCCACTTACATGAGGGATCTGGAAGAGTCAGATTCAATGACACAGAGGAGAATGGCAGTTGTCAGGGGCTAACGGAAGTGGGGGAAGGGGGTGGGGGGATTGTTTGCCAGGTGCACACTTTGTCAGCTTGGGAAGATGAAAAAGCTCGTGGGGATGATGGTTGAGTCACAATGTGAATGCACTCAATGACACTTTATTACACACTTAAAAATAGTTAAAATGAGGGGCGCCTGGACATCTCAGTTCAGCGTCTGCCTTCAGCTCAGATCATGATCCCAGCGTCCTGGGATCAAGCCCCGTGTTGGGATCCCTGCTGAGTGGGAAGTCTGCTTCTTCCTCTCGCTCTGCCTGCTTGCGTTCACTCGCTCTCGCTCTCTCTGTCAAATAAATGAATAAAATCTTAAAAAAAAAATAAAATGATACATTTTATGCTATGTGTATTTTACCACACTAAAAAAAAAGAATGTTTTATCAGTTTTACCAGAGGCCCCACATCTTAGGGGGGAAAAGGGTAATTTAGAAAAAACTTGGTAAAATAAATCATCTGTGAGTCATTTACACGGATGATCAACATACCTGGTTAAACCATTTTCACCTGCTTGAGAACTGCAGTCTTCAATCATCTACGACTGTTTAGCTCTGCTTTGGGTTTTTGTGCGTTTCAGGCATTCAGTAATCCTAAGTAGCTTCTAAGGTCTTTATATTTAGCAGTCACTGGTGAGCACAGGAGCGGGGGAGATAAAAAAAAAAAAAAAAAAAAGCTCTAAGGCAAGAACGGAACTTCCTTCAGTTACTCACCAAGGAGGCAGAGTTCAAAATCCAAGTGAGCCTAACTTTTTGAAAAAAAGCCACTTGTCCAGTTGAGACCTCATCAACTGTAAAAACCAGATCCTGAAAGTAAACAACGGTGGTTTCACCCTCCAAGTGATATCACGGTCCACTGTTTACCATATGATCTAATTCAGGCAACTCCCTCCCGCCCTCATTTGATAAATGAATTCCAAAAGCTGATTTTCCTGAGGCGAGTGGATGAGAAGTAGCCTGGTCTATGGTAGAAGAGTCTGATTTCCCCCCTTGCCCACTGTCTCAGGAGGTATGTCAAGGACTACAATTACCCAGTTGTGATGGGTAATTGTAACAGAGGAAGACCTCTGTTCTCTTCTCTCTCCCCCTGGGGGTTCAGTGGAGAAATGGGGTAAAGGGCATTATTGGATTGCTCCCTAAAATTGTTTAGAAAACACTGACCAACAACACATACCGCAATTGCATTTGGCATAGATAGCCAGGTGTAAAAATTAACTGCCAGACCCAAACATAACGAGTGCCTAGTAACTTTATACAAATCCCCTCCTCATTTCCAGAAACCTGAAAAACTTGGTCTTTAACTTTATTGTCCACTCTAATAAAACAATTGACGTGCAAATGATCATATTTGTACAATCACATGCCTGGAAGTGTTTTTTCTCCTATGAAATACTATGAAAAAAATGCAGTTCTAATTTGTTCAGTACCAGCTATAAAGTGAAATTGTTTCATATATTTACTTGGTCCATTTTCAAAAGGATGAATAAACTTAAACAGGGTTAAACAAATACTTAGAAAAAGCGTAGGAGGAGGTTTTTGGTTCAAGGAAACTAAGAACTTAAAGCCCCACTTCTGGATTCTTTTCCCTCTCTGATAGGTTGTTCTCAGCAGCATATGACTTAGGTTGAACATGCAGAACTGGTTTTCAGACCAAACTGGTCTGAAACATCGATCGAAACATCGATCACAGAGTGTCTGAGATGAACTTATGCCACATGAACTCTGATTTTAGAAATTGTAGCCCAACATTTTTCCTTTGTATTAGCATTTTATTAACTAAAGTTTCACCCTTCACACCAAGGCTGACTGGGTAAATGTTCTAAGAAATATTCCTCTAAATGGAATATGTAAATAGGGAATAAGAGAAATTTTAAAAATGAGTAGAGCTTCTTTTTTAAATAAATGCTAGGTGGCGAGAGAGAGGCGTGCTCTTGAGTATGCATTATGGACATTTGTTTTAATTCAAGGACAGACGCTGCTCTGACCCCCTCCTCTGATCCGTGTGTTTATGGGCAACGTTTCTATGCACACAGGCAACGGCGCTCCTGTAATCCTGGGATCAGCCTGACTTCTGCAGCGTCATTAACAGCCACTTGGGAATCAGGACAGACCTATTCAGAGGCCTTCCCAGCAGGTTTATAATAAACTGTGCAATGTGAGCTGTACCTTGCACATGGACACAAACCGAGGTCACAGGAGACCTCCCAGGACAATCTGTCATCTTCAGATCTGCCTGCAGGAACAGAAAGCCCAAATTAATCTAACAAGGCTACTCTTGGTACTTGAAAATGTATTATTTCTTGAGTGGTGAGTCATTAGTTATGACCCGCTCTCATAATCCTATAGCTCAATAGCCCTAAAGATTCATGCTTCCCAGGCCTGGATTTGTAATTGGGTTGACCCAAATAAGGCCACTGCAATTAGAGCACAAACCAAGGCTATGGAAAAGCTCTTTCCAATACAGTCATCTGTACCAAGGAAAGTATTACAGTAAGAGGCACCAGAATCGCATGGGAACTTCAAGATGTAACAAAGCAAACAAGGAAAATACAGAAGGCCTTAACGACAAGACAGTATTCAAAAATCTCACTTGCTCCGTGTGTCACTTACAATCTCATCTTACGGTATAAGCAGGAACATTGTTAGGGTTGCCCAGAGCTCAATATGGCATTGAAGGATAGCAGACTATGCCACTCTCTGGCATCAAGATTATTTTGAGCTCATTATTTCTGAAAAAATGCAGACACAGGAGTAGCTCTGTAAACAGAGAAGTTAACCCTTCGTTAAGGGAAATTTATACTTATAAAGGAGATCTCTATATGTAAGAGTGTCTGCCTCCTTTTCTCTGCACCGGGAAGAGAATGACTCTAGATCACAAGAAACTTAGCACTGCAGAAGTCACTGACTTAAATCTACGTAACAAGTCTTACCTTTGTTTATAGTGCTTTTCCTGGTAACCCTAACTGTCCTTCCCTCCAATTCTCACACCCCAACACACACACCTTTACTTAGTCTTTAGCTAAAGATAGTATCTAATATGGTGTCTTGGGCCATCTTGGGGAATTACTCAGTTTTGGGTAATATCTTATGTATACATGTTAATAGATATGTATGCATGTTAATAAACCTGTTTTTCTCTTGTTAATCTGACTTGTATTAGACAGGGTCTAAGACAAGAACTTAGAAGAGGGGAAATTATTTTTCCTCCCTTACGGTATCATGGGAATTGCACAATTGGGTTTTCTTGAAAGATCAGGCAGTCTTCCAGGATCATGGAGGTGACACAACCACAGAATGCTCTAAAATTCTACAGATCGACCATTTGCCCTCTTTCTTGGCCTAAAACCCATCATAATGACAATTACCAATAAAATATATATTCTACATAGAACGCAAGACAAGAATTTAATAATTGTCAGTAACACAAAAGAACTATTTTCCCCAAATAAATGCGAATGACTTCTCTTCTAAAAAACAGTTCTCACTATGGAGAAACTATTAAACACTGACACATTCTCAAGAAAGAATTTGGGGGGGACTACCAGGAGACATTAGTGCTGGAAGTTCATTTCCGTGGCTGGATTATACACGAAAACAGCAGCACTCGGCTCTAAGTCAAAGAAAACAAAGCAATAAAGGAAAGAATTCCACTTCACTTAATCCATTTAGCACTTCTTCCATTACTTTCTTTTAATTGAAACATTCATACACGAGGAAAGGTTTCCATTCTTTAATTTTTTAATATAATATACAGAACCACAATACTATTTCAATTTCAAATTATGGGAGCTCACATTCAAATATGCTTGGATTTGACAAGCTGCTGTTACAATACTGAGAAAATTCATGAAAAAGGTATTTAACAATTTGTAAGATAATCAAATATCTTTTTGCTACGTGGGCCAATGCATTAATAGTAACTTGTTTAAAAATGCAGTCTTTTGGACTTCAAATTATAAAAGAATATGAAGATTATATAGCTATACTTTCTGAATTTCTCAGACCCATTCCATTTCAAAAGCTGAAGGCAAATGTTACACATCAGAACATTCATAAGCTCGTATCTCCTCCGTACTTATCTATAAAAATCAAAAACTAGACCACACTTTCCTAAAGACATAGCTATTTCTAGGCTACAATAGTGTAATCATAAAAGACTACTAGAACTAAATTATCACTTTTATGTTAACAATTTTCACCACAATACACCTTTCCTAAAAAGACAAAAAAAAAATGCAGGATTTTGGATTTCCCTTACTGAATTTAACGTAATAGAATCTCATACTTTCTGGCTTTAATAAGCTTCAACTCTTTTTTCCAGTAGGAACTATCTACACAGCACAGTGCTACATACAATTAATTATTCCAGTGAGATGTATATTTAGATTTACAATATGATCAACACAATAGTGCCATACAAAGTTTTTCTGCAGGTAAAAATGCTAAGAAAGGCCACAGTGGACAGTGCCAGACACTGTGAATACAGTAGATTACAGGTACCACCGAGGGTTGGAGGGGACCACAAGTTTCTAATTTTTTCAGCAATGGGAAAAGAAAAACATTTAGAGAAACATAAGAGTAAAAATATATAATTCCACTGTCAATAATAATGTAACTTTTCAGATACTGCTTCCTTAAACAGGCAAATTAGTTGAACTTTAAGTTAGAGAAAGTGAACAAGATCCAAATATGAAAGATGTTCCTTGTTTTCTCATCAAAGGAATGCACTAGGATTAGCACGAGGATCCTTCTGGTTCCTGTATCTGTAGGTCAGCCAAACACCCAGGATCTGGAATGGAAGAAAAAAAAAAAAAAGAAGAAAGAGAAAGTAACAGTTGTATCTGTTTCTTCAGTTTATCAATAAACAATCTGGAACCTCTGAAGCACTTGGCATTATTTGTTCAAAGGGGAAGGGATTTCTTTTTCCCTTTAAAGTGTTGTAAGTAGCCCAAATTAGAAGCCCTAAAAACAATTAATATGAATACTGGCCCTCCAGAGATGTCTGCATCATAATCCCCAGCACCTGGGATTAGGTTACCTTACATGGTAACAGTGACTGGGCAGATGTCATTGGGTTAAAGCTGTTGAGACAGGAAGATTATATGGGTGGGCTCACTGATGTAGTCACAAGCGTTCTTACAAAAGAGAGGCAGGCAAAACAAAATCAGAGACATCAAGAAAAGGCAGTGTGACGTCAGAAGCAGCAGGAAGCAGAGTCAGAGAGAAGATGCTGCATGGCTGCCTTGAAGATGGAGGACAAGGCCACCGAGCGCAGGCAGCCCCTAGAGGCTGTGAAAGGCAAGGACACAGCTTCTCCCATAGAGCCTCCCAGGGGAGCCTGCATTTCAGACTTCTGACTTCTAGCAGTAGAAGATAATAAATTTGTGTTGCTTTAAACAACTCCACTTGTGATTATTTGTTACAGCAGCAATAGGAACTTAATACAAACACTAAATTGTCTGGATAGCTAAAATATCACATTATTTTGATAACTAGAAACAAACTGGGTTGAGAAAGAATTCAGTAATAACGAAAACCCCACAATAACAAACTTTGCTAATGCAGATCTTTAAAAAATGTTATAATTCCTGCCTTTCTCAGGAACCGGGGATCTCTAATTCTAGAAAAATACTAAGTTGTTACTGTGTCGTTTCCCACACCAGGTTCACAAAAGCCTTAACCAACATAATTTTTTTTTTAATTAAGAAATGTGTTCATTCTGTTTCTGCTACCTCAAAGTTGATTTACTTAAAATAATCAAAAATTCTTAGACTGAAAAAGATACAAATTTTTAATGGAACAAAATGAATTTCAAATTATACTTTCCACTTTAGAGCTGTGCCAACTTTTCATCTAAATTTTGTTTATTTGACTTAATAACTACTCATTAGCCCTTTAAACTACTTCTAGAGAATTAGGATCAATCCAAAATTTTCTCCATTACCACAGTAATAATCCCTGTGTTACTCTAAAATTCATGACTGGCAGTGATTACAATGATAACATGTCAGAGCTGAAGGAACTATAGTTTGTGAGTTGAATCAAGGAAAGATAAGTCTAATTTAAGGAAGTGGGAAGCCTGGATTGCGGCATATAGAACAGAGGGAAAAAAAGGAATTTATTTAATAAACACATGAGGAGTACTTTGTGACAGGCTCCGTTCTTCACACTTTACAAATTCAAACAATCCTCCCCAAACACCCTGCATGATGGGAACATTATCCTCATTTTACCAGCAAGCGAACTGAGGTCACGAGGATAGTGGCCATGCAGGTCACAAGTGCTAGAACCGTGGTTCCAACATGGAATCCATGCCCTCTAGCACATTTGGGGTTGTATGTGCAATCTGATGTACTGAAGGCCATTCTTAGGCTAACATTCTACCTACCACGTCAGCCAGGCTGGTTTTCACAATGCTGAGATACGTGCACATCTGCTGTGGACAGCAACTCCTCTGACACCCCCAACCTGCCCAAGCATCATTTCCTTCCCCCTGCCCCAGAAACACTGGCACACAGGGAGAGAGCTTTGGGTGAGAACTTTTGAGATTTTAAATCGCTTATCAGCCCTGGATATAGGCCGATAGTGTAAGTTACAGGGGAAACAAAGCAAATGGATACATGAGACACTCATCATCTGAAGCCACATTTTACCAAAACTTCATTCCTCCATTTCAGCGGGAAGTGGCAAAATGGGACAATCTCTTCCTTTGCCCCATTGTTGAACCATGATCTCATCCCTCCCTCCCTGGGAGAGTCTGGAAGGAACGCCACACCCAAAATGCAAAAAAATCAAAGTTAGAGAACTAATGGATTCTAAGCTTACAAAGCTGCTTAAAATGATCTAAAGATTCTCAAGGGTAACTTTGACTAGAACTCATCATGAAATCCGCTGATACTAGAACCTAGGCCTAATATGCAGGCCACTAAAGTATACAGCTCATTACACAGAAATCTGTGCAATGAGCCTACACATTATTTTTTATGTTTATTTATTAAATATAGAAAGGCAGAAGGTAATATGCCAAAATATAAACATTGGTTATTTGTCATTTTTAGTTAGTAAATCCATGTAATTTTTCATGTTCAAAATTTTCTGTATTTTCTAAAGTTTCTACAAGGAACATGTGCTAACTTTAACATGTTAAAAGTTAACATGTCTCAGCTATTTTTCAGATTCTAAATCAAAGTTTCTTTTATGGTTTACATTTATTTTCAGCTATTATAAATAGTTCAAAATCAAGCCTGTTTCACCAAGGAATGAAAATCATCAGTTAGCTTCATCCCTATGATTCTGTGAAATATTGAATAAAACAAAAAATTTAAAGTTAGTATAGCTATAAAATATTCACTATCCAGAAAATATCAGGTTGGATAAGTTATTATTAAAATCTCTAGCCAGGTTTCAAAGGACATGGTATATAAAATATTAAAATATAGAGGAGGATTCCATGAAAGAACACCAAGTCTTCTTAGCTCTTAAGACACCTAAGACTCATGAGTTTATATTCTTTGTTTTTAAATAATTTATTTATTTGAGGGGCTCCTGGGTGGCTCGGTTGTTGGGCATCTGCCTTGGCTCAGGTCATGATCCCAGGGTCCTGGGACTGAAACCCCGCATCGGGCTCCCTGCTCAGCGGGAAGCCTGCTTCTCCCTCTCCCACCCCGCCCCCGTTTGTGTTCCCTCTCTCGCTGTGTCTCTCCCTGTCAAATAAATAAATAAAATCTTTAAAAAAATTTTTATTTATTTGAGAGAGAGCACGTGCGCACACGCATCTGAGTGGGGGGAGGGGCAGAGGGAGAGAATCTTCATGCAGACTCCCCACTGAGCACAGAGCCAGACGTGGGGCTTGATCTCATGACTCATGAGATCATGACCTGGGCTGCAACCAAGAGTTGGACGTTCAACTGACTGAACCACCCAGTCATGCCCCTATGACTTTATATTCTTACAAATATTAATATTTTAAAAAACAGGAGGAGGGATGAATAGGCAGAACAGAGAAAATTTTTAGGATAGTGAAAATATTCTGTATTATATTCTAATGATGGATACAGGTCATTATAATATGTCCAAATCCAAAAGATGTACAAAAGTAAACCCTAATGTAAACTATGGACCTTGAGTGATTATGACATGTCAATGTAGGTTCATCAATTGTAACAAACCTCCCACTCTGGTGAGTAATGGTGATAATGGGGGAGAGCATGCCTATGTAAGGACAATGGATATATGGGAAATCTCTGTACCTTTCTCTCAATTTAGCTATGGACCTAAAACTGCTCTTAAAAAAAAATAAAGTCCTTAAAAAAAAAAAAAAGTAGGCATAACTGAAGGTAATGTAACCCCATGAGAAGAAAATGGAGCTGCTCAAAAGAATTAAATTCTCAAAATAAATTCTAAATATAAAAAGGAAACCACGGGGCAAAATCTGGCTAATGTGCTATACGGAGATTGCTCACCCCGGTTTTTCTCCTATCTATATTTTTAAGTTTTCATGGAGAAAATTGTACTTTTAAAAGGAAACAAAGGAATAATGCACAGAATTGTTTTTAAACAGTACATCGATTTTCTTGAATCAATGTCACAACCAACCCACAAGTAAGACAGCTCTTTCATGAGAAAAAGTAAAATGAAAAAAAAACGCTCAGAATGGGAAGAGATGTCAGGGGAGACTTCTTTTAAAAAATGAATATTAACCTTGGTCTTTATCTCCACTTTGTTAAGAACAACCAAGTGTGAATTTTGCATTCTCAAGAGAAGGAAACTGAATAGAATATATAATATATCCACATATATGTTTATAAAATGTGCTATATATTGACCCTACATCATATACATATATAGTGTATACATTATATACACAAATGCAGTATATACATTATATATACAATATTAAATTTGATTTTCTCCTGTTAATATGTCTCATGTCAGTCTGACTCTTAGTCTAGCTAGAAGGAACTTGAAGGGCAGAGAAAAATGTCCCTTCCCACCCACTCTAATTCAACCAGCTCATTACTGAAGAACACAAGCTGGCCCAAGGGTTTGCTGTTATCCACAATAAGCATTCTTTTCTATTCATTTTAAATAGTCACATGATTATCTCCATGAAATAAAGCACTGTAAGTAGAATGTATGAATTAAAATAATTTAATTTTGATACATATTGTCAACTCAGCTGCATCAAAAAACATCCACAGATATTGAGAGTTTAATAAAGACACTGCAAAAGGAATTAGCATCCTCTAAAATTATCAATGAGTGTGGTTTTGCTTACAGACACATATATTATACATAAATGTATTAATCAATATATTTTAATATAGTATAAATACATGCAATATAAATAAGAAACTAAAATAGTGTTTACCTGTAGGTTTTGGAGGGCTAGAAATAATGGGGGATGGGCTTGGAAGGCCATTTTTCAAAGCATATCTTTATAAGTATGTATGTGTGTGTGTGTTATATACTATATATATTAAACAGTGCGAATGTCCTACCTATTCCAAAATTAAATTTAAAATTATAATTCATCATACAACTCTACAAATAGAAGAGATTCTAGAAATAACCCAGCCTAAACTCATTTCACTTGTTCATTAAATTTTAAATAATTTAATAATCAAGCATCTCACCCTGTATAAAATTCATGCTGGATCTGTGAGGTCTTCTGATTTCAAGCCAGGGCTCCTCTAATTACATTACTAGTTCTCATGAGGATGTTCATCGATACATTCCTTAAGTTAAGGGCCATGCTAAGGTAAAATGTCATGCCCTCTTGCCATATAAAACAGAAAACCCTATGACAAAGAGTAAAGAGAGTGAGTTATTTGCACATACCTCCGTAAAGCTGAAGAAGAGGCCAATGCCACCGACAAATCTCAAAACCTCTCCAGCATATTTTCCTATTATTGGAGCACATGATAAGCATGGGTGGCCGCTTTTGAAACAGCTCTGTATCAATTAAAAAAAAAAAAAAAGAACTTTTATTTCAAAGTACAATTATAAAAAGCAGATAAACACTGAACCCACCTAAAAATGAGTGGCTGGAATATTACATCCAATCTGGGCCTTGGCTGTTTAGTAGTGTCCTAAATTCTTAAATGGCTCCCAAGGTTCCCAAGCCCAGTATACACACCTTGAGTGATCGCCCCGCCCCCCCCCCCCCCCCCCCCGGCTCTGAGTGTGGATGGGATTTGTGAATACGATAAACACTCACTCCCATGTTTACCACGTGGTTACATAAGACATCATCTTTTTTTTCTTTAAATTTTTTATTGTTATGTTAATCACCATACATTACATCATTAGTTTTTGATGTAGTGGTCCATGATTCATTGTTTGTGCATAACACCCAGTGCTCCACGCAGAACGTGCCCTCTTTAATAGCCATCACCAGGCTAACCCATCCCCCCACCCTCCTCCCCTCTAGAACCCTCAGTTTGTTTTTCAGAGTCCATCGTCTCTCATGGTTCGTCTCCCCCTCCGATTTACTCCCCTTCATTCTTCCCCTCCTGCTATCTTCTTCTTTTTTTTTTTTCTTAACATATATTGCATTATTTGTTTCAGAGGTACAGATCTGTGATTCAACAGTCTTGCACAATTCACAGCGCTCACCATAGCACATACCCTACCCAATGTCTATCACCCAGCCACCCCATCCCTCCCACCCCCCACCACTCCAGCAACCCTCAGTTTGTTTCCTGAGATTAAGAATTCCTCATATCACCGAGGTCATATGATACATGTCTTTCTCTGATTGACTTATTTCACTCAGCATAACACCCTCCAGTTCTATCCACGTCATTGCAAATGGCAAGATCTCATTCCTTTTGATGGCTGCATAATATTCCATTGTGTATATATACCACATCTTCTTTATCCATCCATCTGTCGATGGACATCTTGGCTCTTTCCACAGTTTGGCTATTGTGGACATTGCTACTATAAACATTGGGGTGCGTGTACCCCTTCGGACCCCTACATTTGTATCTTTGGGGTAAATACCCAGTAGTGCAATTGCTGGACCGTATGTTAGCTCTATTTTCAACTTTTTGAGGAACCTCCATACTGTTTTCCAGAGTGGTTGCACCAGCTTGCATTCCCACCAACAGTGTAGGAGGGTTCCCCTTTCTCCGCATCCCCACCTACATCTGTCGTTTCCTGACTTGTTAATTTTAGCCATTCTGACTGGTGTGAGGTGGTATCTCACTGAGGTTTTGATTTGGATTTCCCTGATGCCGAGCGATGTTGAGCACTTTTTCATGTGTCTTTTGGCCAGTTGGATGACATAAGACATCATCTTAACAGAATGGAGCGATTATCATGCTGACTTGGATGCCGCCATGTTGTGAGATGGTTGTATAGTTAGAACCTGAGAGCAGCCTCTAGGAACTGAGGAACACCCAGCAATAAAATGGGACTAAAGCATTACAACCACCAGAAGCTGAATTCTGTCAACACCCACTGAGCTCGGCAGAACACCCCAGGTCTCAGATGAGATTGCAGCCATGGCCAATACCTTGATTTCACCCAGATGAGATCCTAAGTGGAAGACCCAACTAAGCCATTCTCACACTCCTGATCCATGGAAACTGAGGTAATACATGTGTGGTGTTCATGTGTCACATAGCTCTAGAAAATGAATACTCCCACAAAAGAGGCCTCATTGAAGGAAAACCCAGCTCAGGGCTCACAGAGATGGTAATAGGAGTTTCCCCGAAATATAAACACATGTGAACTTCCTAAGACAGTCAAACTCCAAGTCTATCCTCATATTGGGGTCTGGCCTGAGACAACAGTATGGCTCTGATTTGCCCATCGCTAACTCAGCTCTCACAGAAAAAGCATGAAGTTGTAATGGGGAAGAAGGGAGAGAGGATAGAGGGTTATTTCCATGTATCCTCCTCCCTGAGGATGCTCAACTGGTTAAAGAGCCCCAAAATTTAGGATAGACCACTCTCCTCCTACCACCCTGATATGCTTCAAAACCAAGATACTTCTACAGCTCTTCTGCACCTCTACGGCTAATCTGTTCTTATTTTTCTTTCACAACTTGTTCTAGGAGGAATTGAATGGGAAGGAATTAGGGGCAAAGAACCACAAGCATCTGTGTTTGGCAAGGCTCTAGGATACTTAGTACTGTCAGGAGTGGATACTTGAGAACAGACAAATGATGTAACAGTGTACATGGAATATTAAGATAGGTATATGTAAGGCATTTTAAAAATACAACTCAGCATCAGAAATTCCATTTCTTTCATGTTAATCATTATTCATCTGTATGTAATACATCTCCAGAAAATATTTTATACTTTGTACTTACAGCCAGACAGGTGTCATTTGGGTTAAAATTTTGAAACCCACAGCAGTTTAAATTTCTCTGGATGTCATTTCGAGCACTTGCTGTATTGTTCCAACCCACTTCCAGAAGCTGACCCTAGAAAATGCGTTTAATATATACATTGAAATGTGTTATCCCTGCACAAAATGTATAAAGCTAGAGGCTACAACTTTTAATATGAGTGTACCTAAAATAAATACTCTTTGTAAGACGATTAAAAGTTTTCAAAGGGTAATACCTAAATTTGCAACAAAAATTAAAGCACTGCTTCTATCCCAAGAATGAAAAATCTTAACTTTTCCATGCATTTTAAAAGAAACAGTTCAAAAGATTCTCAGACTGAAACAACACAAATTTTCCATTGCCCTAAACAGAGATGCGTATTCTTTCACAAATTAAGAGTTCAGAAAGTGTAATTGCTAGAATGGTATCACAAACGTTTCACTGCATAATGGTGGGAAAAGGCTGGGTGAACATTTTTCAGTAGTGGCACTTTTTACCCAAGGAAGGGAAAATTCCACTTCAAGGATGCCGGGGTGGGGGTGGGGGGTGCAAAAAGCAACATCTGATGGCACTTCAGGGCTCCAATCAGCCCCACTAATACAATCAGGAACAAGAGATTTTAGCTGTCTCCAGTGAAATGCCATTCTGAGCAAAGAGGAATTATCTTATATTCCAATCATTTCTCCCCTTTTGTTCCTACACATACTATGAGGCCTAATAAAGTAAAAGAAAAAAGTTTGTGCTTACCTGTTGCTCCCGGTTCAGGGCTAAGCAAGCACATGATACAGAAAACTGAACAATAAATACAAGTAAGAGAATAATCATGTACTGAGAATTCAAGTTAAGGTATTTCTCGATACTCTTAAAATTACATAAAATAGAGGTATTGACAACTTCAGAATGTACCAGAAGGATTTCAACCAGAAAACAGAATAAATGGCACCTAGAGAAAGTTTACAAGGAATATACACAATTATTTTTCTCATTAATACACTGTAGATATTTCATAATAAAAAATACTAATATTTAAAAGCTGATCTATTAGAATTTCATTTAGATTAAAATAAAAATTCTTACATATATAAAACAAGAAATAAGTATAGATAAATGTATTTAAAGTTTCTTAGTATTAAAATCTTAAAAAAAATCACTGAAATTCTCAACCACATATTGACCTTTCAGAAAGGGCCTAGAGGTCACCAAATCAGTTCAATGTAATTGAATTTGTAAGATATAAATAGGACTATACTGAATTTGCAGAATGCATTCTTCATGATGTGAAAAGGAGAAAATGGGAACATATAAGCATAAAATAATTTCACCCTAAGAAATATTCCTAATGTTGTGGAACAAATACACAAAGGGCATGCTAGGAGCTGCTCTCTGGCAATTTCTTTCCTAATGATAACTCCAAATCAGTTATAGTTATCAAAAGAGTAACTGATAAAAGTAAGAACAAACTCAGTTGGGGTAAAAAATTCTGCTTTTAAAAAAGGATACAAAAAAAAGCAACACCTGATGGTGTTTTACGGCTCCAATCAGCCCCACCAACGCAATCAGGAACAGGAAGATGCCCACTGCAATGACCACACCGACCACCCGGAGGCTGGAAATCAGCCCGAAACCAATGCCCCACGCTGCGATTCCGATCAGCAACAGACTAACCAACTGCAAAAACAACCAAAATGGCCAGTGATGGGGTGGGGGGCAGGGGAAGAGAAAGAGGGGAGGAAACCATCAATTTATAGAATAATGTTAAAAACATTTTTCAGTATCTTACAAATGACTGCTCATACTCAATAACAAGATCTTAATAGATAGTATTATTTTAACAAATTAATCCTCAGGCATGCTTCAAAAAAAAAAAGCTAATCATCTATGAAATTATTATGAAGCCTCAGAGGTCATCTGGTTTACTAAGCCGAAATGATTTCTACCTAAGCTTTTGAAATCACGGCATATGTGAAACTCCTAGATGCCAATACATCTCAGTCAACTACGGATTCCTTCACATGGAAATCACTTAGGTTTCCTTCAAAGCCAGATGGACTATAACCTTCTCTGTGATGCCTTCCTCATCCTCTATAAACTGTTCTTCAAAGATGGTTCTATTGTTCCCCTGGTCACATTCTCAGTCTGTTGCCAAGCCTGTCCGAGGAGATTTGGGAGCACCCTGAGAGGAAAGCCCCATCTTCTCATCTGTCTGTACCCCCAAAACCTATCACAGAACCCGTGTCTAATTAAAAATCTTAAAAGGAGAAGCTTATCCTGGGTTATCATGTAAACCTTAAATGTCATCACAAGTATCCTTGTAAGAGAGAGGCAGAAGGAGAAGCAGGCTCCCAAGGAGCAGGGAGCCCGATGTGGGGCTCGATCCCAGGACCCTGAGATCATGACCTGAGCCGAAGGCAGACGCTTAACCGACTGAGCCACCCAGGCGCCCCAACAATCAAAAATTTCTCAAAGAATTGTGGAAAAAAATTGCTTTAGATGTCATCATGTATCCTTTCAGAATTCAGAGACAGAGAGGTCACTAAAACTCTTAGGACAAAAGCAATGTAAGAGACTTTAGCTATTTTGAGTAAAGTGGTATTCTGAGCAGACTAAATTACTTTATACTCCGTTTATTTATATACTTATAAAATAAAACCAAGAGGTAGAACGCATGCCTCAAAATCAGTCATTACCTGTAAAACACAAAGTTACAATTATTTCTTTAAAATAGCAAATAAAGAACATGCCATGTAAATATGATGTAGAACTGAGAGAAGATAAAGCTGAAACAGGTATGTGGGAGGGATGGGGGTTGGGGTAGCGGGGCAGAAAGGAGGCAGTATCTTCAATTGAGAGTCAGCCATTTCCTGGAGCAAGGTGACAGTATAATACACAGTTGAGAGGAATCAAAATACATAAAATACACTTTCTAGCACCATTTCACGACCCAATAAACTTTGTTTCGAAACATAAAATAAATCACCATTCACTCAAAAGGATTTTTACTCAAGTATTTAATTTTTTATACATGTAATCATATTTTGCAAATTTTAAATATCTTGGTATCTAAAACCTTACATGTGTACGGATGTAAATAAAACTGCTAAATATTGACAAAGAACATACATTTGTATTTTTTAAAGGATTTTATTTATTTGAGAGAGAGCACGACTGAGCACAGCACTGGGGAGGGGCAGAGGGAGAGGGAGAAGCATGCTCCGCAGAGCAGGGAGCCTGACGCGGGACTCGATCCCAGGACGCTGGGATCACGACCTGAGCCGAAGGCAGACGCTTAACCGACTGAGCCACCCAGGCGCCCCACCTATTTTATTTTTATCCATTTATTACAAAGCAGATCTTGAGAAGAAAGAAACTGCCTATAGCATGATAGAACCAAGTTACGGAGTTACATGGACTTGCTGTTTCCCACAGCAGTTAGTACACACAGAAAGCTTTTGTTTTCAGAGGGAGGAGAGGGAAGAAATTCTCAGAGTCTTTGCCACCCAGAAATTGCTCGGTCCCCCTCATTTTCTCAAGTGCTCCTTATCAGTAGGTCCATTTGCTTCTGTCTTGTTTTTATCTGCTCACTCACTATTGTCTCATGACTTCCAGCTCTCTTGGAATTGAGAAAAAGCCCTTTGCTCCGTCACCAGCGAGCTTACTTCGGACTCTGTGACATCCAAATATAGCATGTTTCCTTCCATGAGGGGTGAAATAAGAAGGTGAGAGGATGCAGGGACAGGCCTTCGCCTTGGCTCTGCTCAACATCCTCACTGCGTCGTGGGACCAAACGCTGAAGGTGCTCCGCGTTTGCAACACATCAGAGTAACTCACGCTATCAGTCATGGTCCTCCAGAGAAAGAGCTAACAGGATATATATTTAGAAAGAGAGATTTATTTTAAGGAATTGGCTCATGCAATTATGGGGCCAGCATGTCCAAAATTTGGAGGGGGACAGCAGCTTGATGATTCAGGCAGGTTTTCTCTGACACAATCTTGAGGCAAAATTCTTTCTTCCTTAAGAAACCTCAGCCTTGGGGCGCCTGGGTGGCTCAGTGGGTTAAGCATCTGCCTTCAGTTCAGGTCATGATCCCAGGGTCCTGGGATGGAGCCCTGCATCCGGCAGCGGGCATGGGGTTCCCTGCTCAGCGGGGAGTCTGCTTCTCTCTCTCCCTCTGCCCCTCCCCCGCCCCCGCTCCAGCGCTTGCTCGCGCGCACACCTGCGCGTGCTCTCTCTCTCAAATAAATAAAATCTTTTTTGAAAAAAGAAGGAAAAAAAAGAAACCTCAGTCTTTGTTCTCAAGGTTTTCAACAGCTTGGATGAGGCATACCACAATGGGAGTAATCTGCTTTACTTAAAGTCAATTGAGTGTAAATGTTAAGTCTAAAAAATGCCTTCAAATCAATAGCTACACTAGCATTCAACCAAACATTTGGGCACATGGTCTGGCCAAATTGACAGATAAAATTAACCAGGACACTTGCCAACTTCAGTTCCTGGGTTTGATGCCTATTTCCTAATTCAATTAAATTTGGGCGCAGGATTGTCACTCTCTATTTCTTTATTTGAGTCTTGGAGCCAAAAAGATCAGAAGCATGAATAATATGATAGTTACAATTCTTCTAACCCTACAGTTTTAAAGAATCCTTTTGGGAATCCTACCAAATCCTTACTATATTAACGAAATTCTTACAAGTTAAATAGCCAACAACAAATGACTAGTGCCCACTATACACTAAAAGCCAGAGACAAGATCCCCTACTAGAACAAAGGCCGGCAAACTTTCTCTGTATAAGGCCAGATATTTATCATCTGGCCTTGTGGATCACACGGTCTCTGCCACAACTATTAGACTCTTCCACTGTAACACAAAAGCAGCAGTAAACGAATGAGCAGAACTGTGTTCCAATAACACTTCACTTACAGATACTGAAATTCAAATTCATGTAATTTTCATGTGCACCAAAATATTATTCTTCCTATGATTTTTTAAATCACTTAAAAATATAAAGCCATTCTTTGTTGGCAGGCTATACAGTAATAGGCATTGGAACTGATATGACCCATGAGCCATAGTTTGCCCACCCTTGCTCTAGAAGTCAGGGTAGTAGAGACTAAAAAGTTAAAATGGGACAAAAAATTGCTTTACCAGATATTTTTACAAGATGGGTCAGAGGACAGAACAATAATCCAAAAAATCCAGATAAACAGACTAGGCCAAAGACTGCAAAGAAATAGTAAAGGAGCAGGTAATGGGCTGAAAAAAATGACCATACTGTGAATCTTACCTTATACAACAAAAGAATAGGATATAAATATTCTATTACTTATAATAAATATCTTATAAAATAATATTTATAAAATACTTTATAAATATTATTTTACTATATATTTATATATTTAATAAATTATATATTTATTAAATATATAAATATAAATTATATGTTTATTATATATGCCATATATATATGGCAAAAGATGTGACTGAATTAAAAATCTTAAAAGGAGAAGCTTATCCTGGGTTATCATGTAAACCTTAAATGTCATCACAAGTATCCTTGTAAGAGAGAGGCAGAAGGAGACACTCAGAGAGGAGATGACCACGTAATGACAGAGGCAGAGGGTGGTGTGGTTCCAAGTCAAGGAATGCCCTCAGTCACCCGAAGACAGAAGAGGCAAGGAACAGATTCTCCGCTGGGGCTCTCAGAGAGAGTGCAACCCTGATGATACCTTCATTTTGGACTTCTGGTCTCCTAAACTGGGGGAATAAATTTCTACTGTGTTTAGGCCGCCATGTTTGTGGTAATTCGTCCAAGGAACGCTAGGAAACTAATACAAAACAATTCACACAGTGGGCACTGGACAAGTCAGGAACCTCTAACTATTACAGAAAGCTGCCTGATATTTTACCACTAACGGAATCCTACCATGAGGCTGGAGTGAAGTATTCAGGTATCCTTGTCAGTAACCTCCTAGAAGACCAAATCCTTTATTTATAGCAGTAACATCTCAGCCAAATGTGATAACTATCTTTTGCTCTCTCAGTTACCAATTTACAGGGTCATTAATAATGAGAATCTTTTCCCTTTTGAAAAATAACATCTACAACTAAAAGAGAGGAATACTTTATCACAGCAAAAAGAACGTCCAGGTCTCAGACTAGGCATTATGCTATTATTGAAAACATTATCTAGAACATTCACAAGTATCTCTGCTCTGATTTTTTTTTTTTTTCTAAGTAGGGGAAGAAAGAGGCTACTCCCATCAGCAGACCTCTCTGTCAAAAGTATTTTTCACCAAGCTCACTCGGTTGTGTTTCTCACATAGGTGTCAGTCTATCCCTATCGCTAAGACAAAGTGCTCCTCCTTTAAAAACACTGAAGAGAGTTTATCAGTTTCCTCTTGTCACTTTAACAAATTACCACTAGTTTGGTGGCTTAAAACAACACAAATTTATTCGGCTGCAATTCTGGAGGTCAGAAGTCCAACATGGGTCTTACTAAGCTAAATCACAATGTCAATAAGGCTGCATTCCTTCTGGAAGCTCTGGGGGCAAATCCCTTTCTCAGCCTTTTCCTCCTTCTAGAAGACGCTTGCGTTCCATTGCCTGTAACCATTTCCTCCATCTTCAAAGCCAGCATAGCATATTCAAATCTCTTAGTCTACAACCGGT